TGGATCAGCTGGGGTAGTCAGCAGAAACAGTGTAGTACGAGGTTAGATTTGCCTTCTCCCCTCTCTGCCAGCCGTGCTACAAAATCCCAGAACATTTTATTACTCTACCTGAACCTGGAGTCTTGTCGGACAAATATCCCACAGGATCCTGATCTAAAACATGGGGCTCTCTATGGAAAGTGGATCTGGCTTAGTTTCTTCACACCTTTCCTCACGCATCACCAAYTGGGATGAAAGGAGTTAAAACCCCTGGAACAAGGATCTGGGAAAACACCACACTGAATGGGAATGTCAGCAGGGAAAGAGCAGAGACTCAGGCACTGCCCCAGTAAYGCCGATGGACAGGTAAGGGAGGCAGAACAGGAGGTGACTGGAGCCAGGAGAGAGGCTGGGGGCCAGAAACGAGCTGCCCAGCGCGGGGTCAGCAGAGCGATCCCAGCCCCTGCTGCCCGCGCCGACGCACGCGTGGGCGCAGCCTCAGCCAGCGAACACTCACCTCAGCTCACTGATGGTGTTTTCAGTCACTCGTGGCGTTGCTGGTTTGCTGGTGGCTGGTGCATTTGAATCTGCAGTTGTCCCAAGTCTAGTGAGGGGCAGGCATGACTGCACTGAAATTAGTATCCTCTGGTCATCGTAACAAAGATGCAACTTAATACCTGCACTTAGTGGACGAGCATTGGGAGAAAAGGGGGAATGTAGGTCTTGGTCCTATAGCAGGGAGATGGGTGAAAAATGAAGCCTTCACCAACACAGGCAGGTTTAAGAACAGGTTACCTGGCCACTGTTTCATCTCAATATGCTTTATAATTTCACACTCACCAGGTGGCCTCCAGCTCTCCCCACTYCCGCTCCTGCAGAGCCCAGACCAGCTCAGTGCACCTCTTGATTTACCTTCTGCCTCTGGTGCATCCAGCCCTTCCTTCCTCCAGAAGGCTAGCACAGGACTTCTGCCCAGGCCCGCTGACATACCCTGCTTATTCCTCTGTGCTGGGAGTCATATCTGTCTCCGGGATCTTCCCTCCTTGCCCCTCACAGCAGCAAGACACTTCCCTCCATCTCTTACAGGAGTGTGTGAGCAGAGCACTGACGTGGCAGACCACGGAGCACTGGAGCCATTGGCACTGCTCTCACCTCCTCTTTCCCCCACTGACAGCTTCTCRCTGGCACAGGGCAGTGATTCCCTTCCTTTCATGAAGCCACCTAGTGACAGCAGGGCTGGGATGGGAGAGGAGGCATGGGCTAAGCTGGACTCCTGCTRTCCTGGGGGCACTTCTTTGGAAATGTCCCTGGAAGATGCCCTCTGGTACCATGACTCATGGGACACAGTCTGACAAGCTGGGAGAAAAAGATCTTTGGGGGATGGAGGACGGCCATCCATGGTCGAAGGGGAGGGTTCAAGGTCAACTGGATTTAACACTAGCCCAGCTCCRTACTCACTGTGGAGACTGGGCCAATACTGCCTTGTTCTTCACATCTATAAAAATGAGATGTCCATCCTGAGCTTTCTCTCAGACTTGTCAGAAGACTYATTCATTTATGTTTACAAAGCACAGGGAATCTGGCAGAAGGGACGGGCAAAGAGAGGTAGGACGGTAGTAAATCAGGAGTGGCTGGGGTCATTCTCTTGGACACGGCCTGCAGGCCAGCACAGAATAGCTCATGTCCATATTACTGAACCTCCAGACCAGAGTGACCTCGTGCAAAACCTCTCAGGCCTGGAAAGTGTTTGGGACAGTCCTAGTGGGAGTCAGTGAAAACCCTGCCAAGGTGCATGCTGATACTTAACACAGATGATGAAGCTGCAATTCTGGGAACATTCCCTGACACTGCTTAATTTGTGATTAAAAACATAATTACTAGCAAAGACCAAGTCCCTTTTGTAGTAAATTACCCTCCAAGTTAGCACTGCCCTGATAAAAATCAGCAAATGTCCCCAAACCTTCTTGAAAACTTTGATTCTTCAGCCCTCAGTCATTATCTTTCCATCTCCAGAATGATAGTGGAACAAATCATTAAATAATCAATTTGTTATCACCWAAAAGATAATCAGATGATAAGAAAAAGCCAGCAAAGAGAAAACCAAAACAAATCATGTAATTTAACTTTCTTTCTTTGCCACAGTCACTGAAACAGTGGGGAGAGCAGGAGAAGCAAAACAGGGTATTGTGATTAGTAAGGCTTTCTGAGACATTTCTAACTTCTATGCAAATGCCCTCTGAAAGCAGCTATYGATAGTTTGCAGGCAGGCCAGTTGAGATGGATTCCAAGGATACCTGACCACTTCTGTCATGGAGTTTCCTCAGCAATTCAGATCATGGAGTAAAGCAAGTTTACTAAATACATCCCTTATACCAGGTCTAGAAGACCTTGCAAGACTGAAGGTGGGACTGGAAATCAAATGATCTTGATGAGCTGGAGAAATGCTTTACAATTAGCGAGAAAACATTTAATACGGACTAGTGCAAAATACTGCACTGATAAGGATAGATAAATAAATAAATAAATACATGCACCAGTAGAGAACTGAGGCACAACTGTCTAGATAGTAGCACTGAGGAACAGGACTGAGGAGTTATCGAGACCATGAACTGAATATGAATTGACATTTTGAAGGTGTTGCATTAAAAAAACAAATTTCATTCTTGGCTATATTACTAGGGTACTGCAGGTAAGACATAGGAAGCACCTTTTTGCTTCCTCCATACTGCCAAGGCCTCAGGTGAAAAAGCTCAGCCCAGATTTGGACTGGAGAAACACTAAYAGGTGTAGGAGGGGGAAAATGACCAGAGTTGAAACATGGAGTTTTAGTCTAGCAGAGAGAAAACAGAAGGGTGGGGGCATAGTAACAAATTTCCAATATGTAAGGTGGTTAGAAAGAAAATGCTGATCAGTTGCTTCCCATGCTCCCTAAGAAAAGATGTGGCTATCATAGGTTTAATTACGTTATAAAAGGGAGGGAAACCTCCCCACTCACCAGTCAGTGAGAAACAGAAGGGGTATCTAGGGAGCTGGTTGCACSCCCAGCCTGTGTGAAGGGCAAGCAAGGCAAATACCTGCTTGGGTAGCATCCACACATCTGACCTTGCCTACAGAGAGATCAGTGACCTCTGAATGTCCCTTTCAGCCTGACATTCACGTGGTGTCTGCAGTCTCWAACGCTACTCCCTCGCTCCCTTTGTCCGCAGGGGTGTTACCCCCATCCTGAGCCAAGTCTCACCAGGGACCTACCCAGGCTCCTTGCTGGCTCTGCTATTTGGGGTTCCACCCTAAGTCATCACAGCCAGTGCCCTCCTGTGTTGGACAATTACTCAATCTAAAAGCTATTTAATTTTTTTTACCTTTTACCCTTCTAATGTGAAGATGTGAAGAATCTAACTGCTCCCACAACAGCAGCACCTTTTCAGCTTAAGTATACTTGTGGCCCATCGCAGGCCACTTGATATGGAATAGCTTGAATTCATATTCATGTCAGTGAATATTATAAATTGTAAAAGCTGATGTCATTGCATGTAACCAACTTTCAGATCTGTTCTTCGAGATTCAGGAAAGAAAAGAATACAAATTGTGTGATGAAAAGTCCCAAGTTTTTTTTCTTCTTCTGTCTGTGCACAGAAGATGACCCATACAACATTACGTGGAAAATGAAGATGTAATACAGAGACAGTTTGAGGAGGTGCCAGTTCAGAGCAGAACCAGTAGATCCATGGCCAGGTGAGTGGCACATTGAGGTTAGTAGCTTGATGGGTCCAAGAGGAACAAGAGAAGCAACATTTGAATTAAGAACTGCTGCTTGCAGTGGTGGGAGTAGTGGCTCCCCTGTGAAGGAGGAACCCGCTCCCCTTTCTGTCCTCCCGAAGGATGTGACCATGAAGGTCACACTCATCTGCCTGTACAAGGTTACGTGCGTGTCTCTGTGGAGCGGGTGCATGTGAGAACTAAYGGTCCCCCTGGATCAATACTCAGCTCTCTAGAGAAGAAAATGATTTCTGCTGAATAGATGGCTATTTCATTCCGTTGCAAACCATAGCAGATGGGTTTTCTTCAAACCTCTATACATTTTAAAATTGTATTTACACTTACTAAGTTAGTCTTCTGCCTAAATGGGGAAAAATAACACTGTCCCATTTCTTCATTTTTCCCCCTTTCCTAGTGCTGTGCTTTCTTGGGACTCTGGCTAGGTAAAATTCAGCTCGGTTCTCCCTTTCCACTGAGCATTTTCTGCTTCAAAAACAGGTATCTGGTCCTTTTCTTGGAGACAGGAGTTCAGACTCCTTTGGATTCAGCAGACTAAGCTCCATAACATAAAGCAAGCATTGGATTGGGAAGCAGGGAGATAAGAGTTATTCCTCTTTCTCTTCAGAGAGAAAGACAGACTGATATTGTTACCCTCCAGCCCCTCTGTACCTGCTATAGCTAAGAAAAAAAAAAAGTGAAATACGTAAATATTATCTTACTGTCTGGGGTCAGACAGTTTTTAGTGACGGACAACCATAGGACAAGAGGCAATGGCCACAAGCTGAAGCACAGGCACTTCSTGGCTTTTGTTCGTTTTTTGGGGGGCTCTGTTCCCTGCGGTCCCTCTGACCGCGTGTCTCCCTCTCCCCCATTGCTTGCTGACATTAGAAGAACCAGCACTGTGCTCTGCTTGCCACCACCAGCGGGGCTGCCATAGGCACTAGGGTTGTTCTCAACTTCCGGAGCAGCCCCGGGGTCCCTAACCCGCCCTGGCTGCCCCTGCTCGGCCACGTCCCGCCGAGCCACGGGATGAGGGGCGCCCCTCACAAGATGGCGGCTGCTCCCCTCCCACCCCGAACGCAACCCCTTACCAAGATGGCGACTGCCC